AAAAAACAGGCGGGAAAAAGATCTAGAAGATGGACTACCAGATAAAAGGAACAACAGAAGAAGAAGAAAAAATAAGAGTTAAATAATTTGTACAATTACACTCCAACATTTGCTTTCTAGACACATGATACATAAGCGTGGGATGATAGTGTTTTGTGTTTTCTCTTACAGGGTGACACAGAATGGTCCGAGAGGGAATGCAAGTTATTCATTTGAAACCACAGGAATTCTTCTTTCTTTTTTAAGCTGGGTGATAAAACAAATTGTGCTCTTCTTGGTGTAGGAAAGGCATTGTTTTCCCTTAGAAGTTTTATTTCTTTTCATGGTGGTGTCAGTCAGTTTTATAAGGTGTTTTGTTGTTGACGATGCTGTGAAATTTAACATTCTAAAGTTGGAATGGTCTTCCAGTCAACTTTGGAGTTCAAATGATATCTGCGGACAGATAAAAAGAGATGAAAATGATAAAGTAGATATTCAGAGAATGACTTTTTTAGATCAGACAACTCCATATAAACTTGCATGATAAATGCACAAATTACTATTACACTGCAAGAAGGTACACTGAGAAACTAAACTCATTTATTTAGGCATAAATGGTTGGAAAACAAATTCTTATTTGTAATCTCAATTTTGTGAATCTATAACGTAAAAAAAAATAAAAATAATTCAAGGTTGAAAACTACTGGAGTATGTTTTACAAGAAAATACTATTTTAGTTTTTCTGCTTGTTCTTTGCCGTTTCTTTGTATTTGTACAACTTTATCAATTCTTGAGAGAAAATTGTTTGGAAGTCAATCTGAAACTAAAATAACTAAAATAATAACAAAACAGTATGATTGATTGATTGTTCATAATGTAGCACTATATCAGCTACCACAGCTATATTCTATATAACACATGGGTTTAAAGCAAAAAAAAAAATCCTGAGCCTGAACTTTTTTCCGGGGCAGGGCGGGGCAGCACACTTTAACATTTGAAAGGATACTATGGCAAAGTTATTGCTTTCTTTAATGCAGTTGTATTTAGAAATACTTTAACTAATCTAGGGCTGTAACTAATGATTATTTTGGTAATCAAGTAATCTACTGATTATTTTGACAACCGAGTAATATTGAGTAAGATAAAAACTGAATAAATCACGATGTACAATAAATGGCATATTTAGAAATATGATGTATTCTCCTGTGTTGGCAAAGATTTATAAATGATTTACATTACAAATCTAGTGAGATAATGCATTTAGCCCCTTTCACACATACAGTACTGGTAAATTACCGGCAAGTTACCATTAATAGATCATGTGTGAACAGGACCTTTTCAAAAATCCCGGTAAATTTGTTCTGGCAATCATATCGTTTTATGGAGATGACATGATTACTCTGAGCCGTTTACAAAGCTCCGCTGCTTTTTAATTAGTTATTCTATGTAAATATGCGCTAGATGGACATCGCAGCTTTTTGTCACGCTTCTCCATTCATCAGGGTTGCGACTCCGCAATTGGATACTATTATGCGCGTCTCGTGTTTATTCTGATTGGCTAGTAATGTTAGTTTGGTTGAGAGTGAAAGCTGTGCGCTCCTCTCATACCATTGGTAGGCGAACTCGTGGACTCGAAAGTAATATCAATCAACAAGATTTTTTTTTTTTTAAATGTAGGACTATTTTTTTGCCCGCAGCCAAACGCTGCACGCCGGAGATCCGGCACGGTGCCGGAGAACTCTAAGCCCTGATAACATTAAAGTTGAACAAAAATCTGGCCATTACAAATCAGCCCTCTGATCTTCACTAAAGTGTAGCCAAAAATATCAGAAGGTGATACAAGGATACATTTAAATGGCATGTAAAACACACAAAGTATCTCTTGTTTAACATTAGGTTGTGCTGGAAGAGGCTGATTCTTACTGTATCGGACATGTTGTATTGAAAGCACCTTCAGCGTTCAGTTCCAGATCTTGAGGAAGCTGTCCCAGGACCCTGTAGCCACTGCCATACCGTCATTGGTTACACCCAGACAGCTTACTCGGTTGTCATGGCCGGCCAGCACACCTGAAAGAGTCCAAACATCAGTAAACCACACAATGTTTTATTGAAAAAAAAAAAAAAAAGATTATTGGAGTATGTTTGACAAGAAAATACTATTTCAGTTTTTCTACTTTAAAATGTTACATACCTTTTTCCTTGTAATTAACTGCAAAATTGGCCGTTTCTGAGTGAAAATTGTTTCTACATAAAACATTTTTATGGGATGCCAAACAGAGTTTTTGCAATGGTGATGAACTTAAAGTTTCGCTTGTACACTGTAAAAATAACTATTTTTTCAAAGTCTCAAATAAAACAGTATTGTAGTACATTTTACAAGTACATACCATTCAGTTTAGTCTACCATTTGAGTGTACTTCAAAATTTCATGCATAATTCAATGTTACTTTCGGTTTCTTTGTAATTGTGTAAAATTTACTAGCAGTTTCTGAGTGAACATCGCACGTTAGTTTGTAGATACTAATTACACACACACACAACGTGGTCGTCTGCTGACCGGTCTCTATGTCCCAGAGAGCACTGCGGGACAGATCACAACATTCAAATGCTTCAAAACACATACACATAATTGAGAAATCAAAATGCCTGTAGAAATGAACTGCAACATTTCTCAGAGCTGCAAAATCTGATCAGGTCTACATTTATAAGAAAAATAAATAATACAAATAATTAAATATCTAAAAATAAATATTATAGGTTGTATGCTAAATCTGCTTATTCTTGTGTCTCTTATTACATAATTTATTTAATGGTAAATTTTCACAGTAAGTCTCATTTGATAAACAAAGTAACAATGTATTTTCAAATGTAATAATTTTAGATAATATCAGTTAATAAAAATACAAGCCTTCATTGTTTGCTCATGTTCACATGGCATTAATGTTAACAAATATATTTTTGTATTTGTATTTAAAAATGTATTAGTAAATGTTGAAATTAACAAATTAACTTAAAATAAAACAAAAATAAGAAATAGACATAAGATTTAGCCTACAACCTTAATGTTAGCTTGCAGTTAATGATATACATATATTTCCCATAATTTAAAATTAATTTTTCTTAAGCACAAGGTGGCAGCTAACACCATAAATTGTGTTAAAAATAAAAAAAAAGTGGGAAGAAATTATTTTTGTCTTCCCCATAATGTTGTAGAAATGGTTCACATGATGTTACTTCCTGAATGTTGATTTTATAGAATGGTCCATTTTTTAATAGGAGAATGCAGACATAATATGAGAAATACAAAGCATACGGCATTTAAATAAATATATTTTTTAAATGTATAATCTGATTCCTGACTTTAAAGAAAAAAGGAAAATATAAAAATATCCCTGATGGCATTAACAACAAAATCTGGTCCTAATTGCAGATGTACGCTTTAGTATCGGAGATATCCAAGCTTTGGGTTTCTGGGATACAGTTCCTCACACTCACCAGGTGGTGTCGCCAGAACTTGTAACAATCTGGTTGTCATCAACGAAGCGGCAGCAAGAGAGGTATCCTGAAGAGGGAAGGAAGTTTAATACATGATTCCAAACCAATATTTCTTCTCAAAATCTTAAGAAATGTATTATACTTTACTTAAAAACAAAATAATATCTGTGAATGAACAATATGTCATTGTGTGGAGGATGATTTACATTGCTGTATTACACTCATGACAATTTGAAGGGGGAAGATGCTTATATGTCATGAAAATAGATATCACAAAGCGCAAAAAAAAAAAAAAGTAAAACTTTAAAATTTATATTTAAATTTAAAATTAATATTTAATTAATCTAAAACATATTTTCCTATTTTTCTCTTGATTTAGTGGTTAAATATGACCTGGACATTTCTTCACCCATACAGCAACTGAACAGAATGAGAGTGCATTACGTAATTGCTGATGCTGTCATTAAAGTCGATCAGATGGGATAATATTAAAGAGGGTGCAGAAAACACCAGTGCAGTTTCATGCTGTAATTACAGCTTAGCGAAACACCGACCCTTGTGTATATTCACAAGAGCCAAGATTACAGTGTGTGAGAGTTTCAGGACGACACGTCCTGTACCTGTGTGTCCGGCCAGCTCACGGCTGACGCGCACGTTCCCCTCGCGAGTCTTGAGGCTGTAGATGGAGCAGATGTTGTCTAGACCTCCACAAGCAACGTAATTCCCTGAAGGAGCGTAGGCACAGGTCATCACCCAGGAGGAGCGCAGAGGAATGGCGTGGACCTGAAACAACACACAAATGCTCAGGAAAAGACATATGGAAGTAATAAAAACCTGTAGCAGAAACCATTTTAAATAGCTGATCATCACAGGGTCTATATTAGTTCCTGTTAGGGCAAAAAATGGCCATGCAAAGATCAGGAACTTGTTTGCTATTTTTTTTTTTAGCATTTTAGCTTTCGGTCATGCCCATCCTGCAACATCTGCACAACTAGTACCTAGGTTTAACAGTTGTTGTTTTTTTTTATTTTCCCCAAGTAATAGTGATGCTTGGTCTGTGGCAATTAATTCGAGAAAATAAATAGGAATGCACTGAATAAGTAAATATTCAATTTTTTTTAATGTGGTTGATAATTAAGATGCATTCATGGTCATTTTTTAAGATGTATAATAAAAAAATATTTGTAAAAATACAAATGTTTACAAAACCAGTCTAATTAGAATTAGAAAATTTGTGGTTGATAAATTACGATGTATTATAAGAAGATCTTAAGAAGATATTTTTAAGGTGTATAATTAAAATATAATTTATACACAGTAAATAATTAGACACTACAGTCAAATGATCTGTTTATAACAGCAGCCTATTTATAACTATTCAAGCCATTATAAAAAAAATCAATAAAAAAAAATCAATATGGTTGCTAGTATCCACCCCAGAAAAGAGGTGCAACTTAGCTTAGTGAAATGCTCTATATAAAATCAAAATTCGAGAAATAAACGAACAAGTACAAATATAATACCTTATTTGTGGTATAACTGTCCCAAATAATGAGTTTTCCATCCTGGGAGGCACTGACGAGCAGCCTGCACAGAAAACACAAGAGCACAGATGAGCGAGTGCAGTTTACCTGCAAAACTACATTCAGGAGGATTGTCTCCCAGAACAATCTCAAACTATTCCCAGCACCATTCGGCACAAAAATGGTAGTTATGGATTTTTCTTGGCTGTAGCTATAATAGTAACAACATGCTTAGTCATAATACCTACTTACAACCATCACTCACCACCTACACAAACACAATAAAAGACCATGATTCAATGCAATAGGGATAGCACGCAGTGGCCACCACTCGAGCCATGAACCCATCCACCTCCACTGCGAAAGGGAAACCCCTCGGTGTCTCTCGCCCTGATGTACAAGGATGCTTTCGAAGGGCTAACAAATAAGGTCAGGCCATCATGCAAATCAGGTGACGGAGCTGTTCCATACCTGGAATCGGTGCCCCAGTGCATGGCGTAGATTTTAGCCAAATGTCCTCGCAGTGTTCTTCTTGTGCGCATCTGGATTCGGCCAACAGGGTCGATGTTGGCTGTGATCTGAAAACGTATATGCAAATTTAAAAAAAAACATCCACACACGTGGCATCGATATAGATATTAATCCATTTATTTAAATTACGGTTACTTAAATTTACACATTTAAACAGAAAATTTTAATTTCTTACCTGTGATAGTGTGGCATCTGCACAAGCTTTCCTTGCATCCTAGGAAAAGAGAAAAGGAGAAAAGTTTAGATGCGGTGGAACGAGGCATTATTTTATATACAAAACATTTAGGGTTAATGGTTAGTAAATAACAACCATAAAGTAACATGACATACGCTGTGATATACAATTCCTTCTTCAATTCCTTCATACGTCAGAATGCTGTTCATACGTCAGAATGCTGTTCATAGACTCTGTATATCTGTATTTATGTTCTACTGTTAGTGTTATCTGTATGCACCAAGGGTCTGAGAGTAACGCAATTTCAATTCTCTGTGTGTATGTGCTGTACATGTGGAAGAATTGACAATAAAGCAGACTTGACTTGACTTGACTTTAAAAAAATGTTCATATCATATTAGTAATCTAATTGGTAGCATTACTGACCCGTTAAGGTTAATTTACTCATTGATTTGATTGATTATGGCTAAAAGGTCAAAGATTTTAGACAAATGTGGATATTTTAGAACACAACAACAGAGGATTAGTAAAACTATCTCAGGCCGAGATAAAATGTAAAGCGGCTTCATGGAGGAAGTATCGGGTGTAAATTCTTTGAGGAATGAGAACAGAACAGTTACAGTAAATGTTTTTCCTGCATAGTGTAGAAGTATGTAAATAACCGCCCTCTGTATTTAAATGTCTTTTGGTTATGCAAATATTTCTGTGTAACAAGAGACTACCAAGTAATCAGGTTGTAAAAAACAAAAACAAACATGCACATACTTCATAGGACTAAATAGCTGGATTGGAAATATGTCTAGCTTTAATAAAACTGACATTTTAAATATAGCAGACATGTCAAAATCTCTATAATTATGAATGTGAGCTTTGTTTTTTCGCTGGTGATCGAAATTTACCACAGCAACAACCAGAGGCTACACTGACTCCTTTCCACCTGGAGTCTTAATGGGATAGTTCACCCAATAATGAAAATTCTGTCATCATTTACACACTCAAGTTGTTCCAACCTGTATGAATTTCTCTCTTCTGCTGAATATAAAAGATGATACTTTGAAGAACGTGGGAAACCGAACAGTTGCTAGTCCCCATTGACTCCCATAGTATGAAAAAAATACTGTGCAAGTCAATGGAGACCAGCAACTGTTTGGTTACCAATTTTTTTTTTCAAAACATCTTTTGTGTTCAGCAGAAGTCAGATGTACAGGTTGAAACAACTAGAGGATAAGTAAATGTCAATTTAGATTTTTGGGTGAACTATCCATTTAATTTAATGCTCAACTTAAAATGCTGAATAATCAGCAGATATTTTTCTATTTTTGGTAGTAATAAGATTAATATTGACCAGGCCAATCCATTAGTCGATATTTGGCCATTTTGGAGTAGAATATTTAGTATGTCAAATTACTATTCATTTGATTTTAGCAACTTTACGTTTCAATTACATTATACCAAACACATTTTAAAGATGTATATATACGTTGCATGTCTTGTGTTACAGGTATGGATTAGGGATTAATAAATGCAGTTGTGTATGAGATCAGAGAGGTCCTCACTCTGATCTGGTTCTTCAGCTGCTCGGCCTCCTGGCGTAACTGGTCCAGTTCACTCATTTTCCTCTTCTAAAGCTCTGCCTCACTCCTACTGTCGGGACACGTTCGGATCTACAGCAGAGAAAAAGAGAGTAAACATTTAGGCTCCGATTCCAATGTTATACCTTCAAAAGACATATTAACGGGAGGATATTTGGCCATCTTGAGACCAAGTTTAAATTTGAATGTGCATATTTCCTGTTTTGAAACAAGTAAACTGGTCTCAGCATCAGATATAGAAACAACCATATTGTTCGCACTAACATCGCACGCTAGCTGCATCTACAAGAGGAATCATCTCTGCATGTAACATTTGTTAATGGATTGCTAATAGATTGTTTATCAATACACAAGGGTGTAAATTCAAGATCCCATCCCACCGCATTAGCTACTGAAAGCAACCAAAGAACCATTTCCTCTTGTGGTGAAATGAGTTGTTGCTCCTTAATGAAAAATGCAGAAGTACAAAGAGAACAACAGCAAGAAACGAGCTGCGATTCTGTCCTTTTATTATGTCAATAATCGGCAATGGATAAAATACCTTATCCTAAACTGTAGCTTGAAAAAAAAACAAAACATAATTTGGCACATTATGGAAATAAAATGCCATGAAAAACAGGATATTCAATGAGAATGTAGGGCAGAACTTGATTTTATCTATTGGGAATTGATTGGATGATGAAAACTGGGCGCTACATCCAAGAATGGGGTCATGTGGTTGGAGGGACGGGCTGAAAAAAAAAAAGAGCTTGATGACATCAGTTGAAAAGGAAAGCGGTTTCAAAGGCGGAACAAGTTATTTAATTTAAATGAACGATTAAGCAGACAAACATTATGGGCACTGGAAATGTGAATTAGGAAAGTATATAGGGCAGGGCTCCAGACTCATTCTTCCCACTGGTCGCTCTTTTGCGACTAACTTTCTCAGTTGGTCGCACGAGCACATGATTTGGTCGCAATATTTTTTTATTTAGTACTACATCATGGGATTAATCAATGCATGCTGATGAACTTTTATCATAGTTTATAGTTATATGGATACGAAAGTGATTAACATTCAGCCCGTTCTTTTTCATCAGTAGTATTATTTGTGATTTGATTTTTGTGAACGGGAGTTCCTCTTTTGCTGTGTTATAAGCCGAGCTTGGGGTGCTTTCACTTTCAAATTCGTGATCTTGTCACGTTTTACAAGAAAAGATCTACACACTAGGGCTTTCAAAAAAAACATTGCATTCGAATTTTAGATCTGCATCAGCCAGCCTTATCAGTGGCACACGAAATGCGACGACAATGCATTTTAATGCTTTTGTTATCCTATCCAGTTGAACCCACTAGATGTGGCGCTGCTACATTGTGCATTCAATATATAGCGGAAAACGAGAGCATCAATGTGGTGAATATGTTGTTTACGGCAAAACTGAAACCAAGCCGTTCACACAGAATGCATATTTATCACATTTTCTAGCAGGGCATCTATCAGCGTTTGCACTCGCGTCTCGCACAAGAGAGCGGCATGTTTAGAAAGCCATGTAAAATTAATGTAAGTTCAACTCTTAAAAAACATGTCTCAAGACTTTATGGCGGTTTTCCCCCATCCCACTGTATCTCATGTTTTTAAAATAAGAAAGTAGCCTACTCTTTGTAGGTTTTCGGTCCTTTGTATTAAACTATACATACATGTAGTGCTGGGCGGTATACCGGTTCATACCGAATATCGGTGTTTATTTTTGTTATGATATGAATTTTTAAAATACCGCAATACCGGTGTATGTCGCTTAAACAACGTTCGGAACGCGACACTGTTTGAAAGGGGTCCCTTTTCACTGTTGCACTGTGGTGAGGGAACAGCTGTATGTGTTACTAAGCGTGAAAGTTCCGAAACTGAAGCTGTAGAACTAATAGAACGTGATGACAGAAGAA